CACCTCAGCCTCCCAAAGGCGCGGGATTACAGGCTGAGCCACCGAGCCCGGCTGTAACCAACTTTTAAAACAGAGGTCAACAAACAATAATCCACAGGTCAGTATGACCTGCTGCCTGTTTTTCTACAATCCATGAGCTAAGAATGGATTTTAAAATTTTATATAGTAACATGTTAAGTGACTACAGACATGTCCACATAAAATCCTTGATTTTGCCTCCTGGCCCACATAGACTAACATGTTTACTACCTGATCCTTCGTAGAAAAATTTTACCAAGGCTCACTTTAGAAGTTTCTGGGGGATAGTCTCCTAGGACTTACACTTTGGTTAACAAGTCAATGACTACTCCCGGGCTTCCTCGGGGACAAGTTGCATTTTCTCGACATTTTTGACTAAAGTTGGTTGAAGACAAACCACTCTCGTTCTAACTTCTTATAACCAGACATCACCTTGAGTAACTAGGAGCCAGCTGGAGCAGGAGCTCAGGGCTGACTGGTCTAACCAGTTATTACCGGACAGGGACAGACAGTTCAAATCCTTTCTCTTTCCAGTGTTTAGTGTGGAAAATTCAAGTCTTCTGAGCTAACCTATGTGTAAAACAGTCACAGATACCTTTTGTGACTGACTAAAAGGTAACTGCTTTTCTTTATTTTTATCTCCCTGAATCAATTATCCATAACCCTCTTTTGTCTAAAGAAATCATCTTTATCCTTCCAAAGCAATTCCTACAGCCACATGCCTAGATCAACACAATAAAGACACCCCCTCCCATTCAAGCTGGGAGAGGAGGGGACAGTCTTGCAGGAAGCCTCCCAACAGGCAGACCCCTGCTTTTCCTTCCTGCAGGCAAAGGAAACAGGACAGTGCCCTTCAGAGCCTCCCTTTGCCCTAGGATCACTTCCAGGTGGGAGCAGCAGCTTAGGGGAACAGAAAAGCAAACTGATGCACCCAGCTGCTCATACAAGCTCACAGACAGATCTTCAATGCCAAATGTTGCATGCAGGGTTCAGCCACCCCAGGGCCTAGGCTACTGCTAAACTACTTCTGACTGGTCCCTCATTTCCTCTCTGTACCCTGCCCCACATCTGTTCTCCCCAAGGTAATCAAGAATGGTCATTCCAAAATGCAAAAATAATCACATCCTCACTGTGCTTTCCTTGCTTAAATATTTAATTTGCTTTCCCCTGCACTTAGAATAAAGACCAAAATCTCTCACCTACCTACAAGGCCCTGCATAAGGTAATCCCTTAACAAATCGGCCTCACCTCCTGTTATTCCAACCCTGGCTCTCTCTGTTCCAGCAGCACTGGGCACTGGTGCCACACACTGGGCCTTGTGCATGCTGTTCCCTCTGCCTGCTCACCTTCCTTTTCTCCCAGTAAATACCATTCCCCCAAATCCCAATAGTCACATCCTAACCCACGGACATCTCGGACTCATTGCAGGTATGCATAGCACTGTAGCTTCCAGTACCTTCTTATCACTCAACACTCTTACTCCTCAGTTTATATGATAAATCACTGGATTAGCATGTCTCTCCACTAGACTATGAGCCCATTGAGATCAGGGGTCATTTCAGTGTCACTCATGATGGTAACCCCAGTGCCAGATGCTCCATGTCTATTGGTCAATAAAAGAATGGAATTGGTAGAAGCAATGGAATCGGGGTGAATAACAAGTTTGCACTTGTCTCCTAGCATGTTTGAGTCTTGCCTGGGCTCTGAACTGCAAAAATAATCACATCCTCACTATGCTTTCCTTCCTTCTATCTCTTCCTCTTACGGATTGGTTTTACTAACAGTTACATTCTGGGGGCTCCTGAGCTACATCTGGCCCACAGACATGCTTTGGTCTATACTGGACTTTGTCTTTGCTCTAAGAGAATGAAGATCTGACAGTGTAGGCACACATTTCTGTGTTATAGCCATACAATGGAGTGAACAGTGGCCACCCCCTAGTCAGGCACCACCTCCTTGGTCATCCATGGTCCCATCGTGCTCACCTGGCTCCACTTGTCACCTGCCTGGCTTCCCTTCCCTAGGCATCTGGGTCTGTAACTCTTGGTTCCCCTTCTGGTAAGATGGAGGAGTGTTTCTTCCCCATGTTTTCCTTCTTTGTGACTTTGATTTCTTTCCTTCATCTTGTGATCCCGTGGTCAGGTCTGGTTCTCACGTATGGACCTGGCCACTCATGACCATGGAGCAGCACACATGGCTTCTCCACCACGGGCACTTTCTCCAGACATCTCAGAAGGTTTTTAATGAAAAAATGCTTATTAAAACACTACAACAGCCTTGTAATCACACCTATTTTATGAACAAGAAAATTGAGGCAGAGAAGAACAGGGTGTGACCTGGTTCTCAGAAGTCAGGCCTATGTCTCCAGAGTCTGGATTCAGTCATTCATGCCTTCAAAAGATACTTATCAGGTGCCCGCTCTGTACCAACCCCTGCTCTAAGGACTGGGGACATAGCAGTGATCACAGAAAGCAAAACTTCCTGCCTCGTGGAGTTACATTTGGGGGGTGGGAGGTGAGGATAGACACTAAATAAAATAAAAACACTAGAGGATAAGTTAGAAGGTCATAAATGGAAAGTGGGAAGGGAGAGAAGTGGGGAGGGGTATTGAGATGGTGTGCAGTGGCCAGGGATAAACTTGTGGAGAATGTGACCATGAGAGGAGACAGGATGTCAGGAGCAAGCTGTGTAGTCTTATGGGGATGGCAGCGCCTCAGCAGGGGGAACACCTGTGGGTAGAGTGCCTCGTGTATCAAAAGAACGGCAAGGACATTGTCCTTAGCCCTGTTGCCTCGTTCAGTCTCCAAGTTCAGTCACCACCTGTTATCTGATCCCTGTGGGGGTCTAGGCTTTTCTCAAGTTCATAAAACAGTTTGAGAATAGTGCAAAAACCTCCTTGTTCTGCTGTAATTCCAACACACAGTCTTGGGCTGTCCAGCTCCAAACCCACGGACACAACCAGTGGGGTGCCCCAACAAGTCTCTACTGACCCCACCACTGCAGGGCTATAAGAGGCAGAATCAACTTGAGGGATAGAATTGTGGGGAAACCCTGGGGGCTTTCTGAGAATCTTTTTCCATCAGGAACTCTTGAGATGACACATAATGTGTGTTACCTTAAGTGAGCAATGCCACACAAACTGATGGAAGCAGGATTGGTGAAACAGTAGGAAAAATAACGTTTCCAAAGGAGAGTCTCAGAAGTGTGGTTAGGAATGCAGAGCGGCAGCTTCACCCTCTGCTTTGTGCCTTGGGGAACAGAGCTTGACAGACTGATGGCACCTATATGAGGCCCAGGTTTATTAAGCTTCTGCAGACTCTTGCTCTTTGCCCTTTCCTTGAGGTGCTGGCTCATCAGCAGCACCTTGGGCACCTCCGAGAAGAAACACATGTTTTTTTCACCTGACAATTTTATTTTGCAAAGATCACTTGTGTGCAAATCATGCCTGCCCTTCTTTTTTTTTCTTTTTTTTGAGTTGGAGTCTCACTCTGTCACCCAGGCTGGAGGGCTGTGGCACACTCATGGCCACCACAACCTCAACCTGCTGGGCTCTGGCAATCCTTCCACCTTAGCCTTCCAAGTAGCTGGAATTATAGGAGTGCTCTACCGTGCCCGGCTAACTTTTTTTTTTTTTAATTGTAGAGACGAGTTCTCACCAATTTGCCCAGGCTGGTCTCGAATCTGTGGGCTCAGGTAATCCACTCACCTCGCTGTCCCAAAGTGCTGGGATTACAGGCTGAGCCACTGAGCCCAGCCCAGATACACTTTTCTTAAAAATATCCACTGGTTCACCAGCTCCTCAGGATCCAGTTCAAGCCCTCTGAGTCACACAAGTCCTCTGAGGCACACATGAACCTACCCCACTCACTTCCCTAATTTCATCTCCTGTGCTTCCCTGTGCCATGTCAGTCAGGAAAAACTGTAGCAGACTTTGCAATGGGCAAAAAAAGATTGCTCAGTGTCCTTTTGTGAAATGCTGGGCATCTGTCTAGCACATCCTTCCAGGGTATCTGATTCTTTAGGGGTCTGCAGCTTTCATTATCTTGAACTGAGCTATATTATACTCTGTAAGTTGCAGAAAACAAATTGTAATATAAATGATTCTTGTTCACAGAGATGTAAATGAATTGTATCTGCTGGAGATGCAACTGATCCCATCTCCTGTGGAAAGGGCCACTTTTACGTCTGTTAGCAACTTCATTTTCACATGCTGATGGCCTATATACGTTGCCTGCTTTTTGGATTCTCTTTTAAGCTGGATTTTATCTTATGATTCCTTCACTCATTATTATGTCAGTAAGATCCTTGACTTGTATTCATTACATATTTGCACCAGAGTCATGATTTTACTTTTTAAAAAGTTTTATCCTTTACTATACCCTAAAGGATGCAGCCATGTCAAGTAACTCTGGGTTCATCAAAGCAGTCTTTCTTTTTCATTTTTGTCCTTGATGTTGCTTCTGCCAAGAGCCCCAAACTGGTTTTTTTCCACTTTTTTTTTTTTGAGTTGGAGTCTCACTCTGTCGTCCAGGCTGGAGTGCAGTGGCACACTCACAGCCACCCCAGTGTCTACCTGCTGGGCTCAGGTGATCCTTCTGCCTCAGCCTTCCAAGTAGCCAGAATTATAGGCACGTGCTACCATGCCCGGCTAATTTTTGATTTATTGTAATGACGAGGTCTCACCAAGTTGCTGGGGCTGGTCTCAAACCCACGGGCTCAGGCAATTCACTGGTCTCGGCCTCCCAAAGTGCTGCAATTACAGGCTGAGCCACCAAGCCCAGCCTTCTTCCACTTTTAAAACCCTGTTCAAATGTCACCTCCTTTGTGCAGTTTTTGCTCAGCAGTAATAATTGCCCACTGAGCAGCTCATCCATTGTAAATACCAGCAGGGGTCACATTGTATGCAAATTATTTGTATAGGTCTGTTTCCACCACTACACTTCTGTCCCTGCCATAACATGGTCTATAGTCCTATTCACCTTTAGCACACCACTTGGCAAAGCGGCAATCCACCCACACCTGTGGGAATAAATGCTGAAGTAGTGGCCAAAGAGGTGAATGTTCCTGTTCATAGAGTTCAGAATTGGGATCCTTATTTATACTTAGTAACTGCCACCAACTAGAAGATATACGTGTAGAATTTTTAAAAACTAATCTGTAATCCCAGCACTTTGGAAGGCCAATGCGAGTGGATTGCCTGAGCCTGCAAGCTTGAGACCAGCCTAGGCAATTTTGTGAGACCTCATCTCTACAATAAATAAAAAATCAGCTGCGCATAGTAGTGCACGCCTGTAGTTCCGGCTACTTGGAAGGCTGAGGTGGAAGGATCGCCGGAGCCCAGCAGGTCGACGCTGCAGTGGCCATGAGTCATTCTCATGACTGAAATAATGCAGTAGGTCCTAAGCCCTTTCAGACACTTGAATGAAGATGCCGGCCAACTGCCATGCGTTTCTATTAAAGTGGAGGTAAAATACTGTGGACAATGTCTAGAAAAACATGCCAAGCCCTGGGCACTCAGTATAATTTAGTGGGTGGCAGCTGTTTCTCCTTTACTGCCTCTAATCGGAGTTCCAGGATTGGTAGATGCTTTTGGCAAGAGAGAGGACAGAGTGGACCAAAGATCTAATCTCTCTTGGCAGACTCTATATACCTCAGGGCCACTCCCCCCTGGACAAATACGATTATTGGAGGCCTTTCCATAACGTCCTGCCCTAACTTTTAGTAAAGGCAACAAAGTGCTGTAGGACCAGAATGCCTAGGTATAATTCTGGCTCTACAATTTCCTGACTGTGTGTCCTTGGGCAAATAACCTAAGTTCTCTGTGCCTCAGTTTCCTCATCTGCAGTAATAACAGCACCAACTTCAGAGGATTGCTGTGAGGATTAAATGACTTAGTTGAGATAAAGTGCTTAGCACAGTGCCTGGCCATAGTAAACATTTTAAAAATGTTCATTCATTCAATACATGTTCATCATCAATATATTATTATTGTTGTTGTTGTTATTATTATCCTTCTCTGGGGCCTGCCTCACCTTACCTGGGGAAGGGATTGTTTCATTACCTCATTCTCTGCCATTTTGTTTTCTTTTCTATCATCAGCTCCTTCTTGGTCTCTATCAGGTCTCTTGCTTTTATTTTTCTCACTCTGCTTGGACTTGGTGCCCTCAGGGGCCCTAGTGACTTTTGGCCCCAGCCCGTCTTCCTTGCCTGAGTCATCAGGATGGGACGGTCTGCTTTCTCGAAGCCTGGACTCATCTTTCCTCCTGGACCTCCCGGGGGCTTCCTGCTGCTGCTTCAGATACTTGTCCAACTTGGTTTTGGGCTCTTTCCGGTAGTAGCCGTCTTCTCGGCTTTTGTAGCTAGACATAGAGTGAAGTGGGTTGGGAGATCCAGACCTCAGGTACTTTTCCCGGTGGCTCCTCCCTCCTTCCAGTCGCTCGTCCAGTTCAGCCTTGTCCAGTTGCCGGGGGTGGTGTTTGCGATCATGTACCCAGGGGTCTATCCTGTCCCTCTTGTCATCCCCATTTTCCCTCCAGGGGGCTGGGTCTCGCTCTTCTTCCCTTCTGGCATAGGGAGAATGTTCCCATGAGTCCCGGCCATTGCCCCAGTCAGCCCGGGAGGGGCCCGGAGGACTGTGGTTGGAGCTGCAGGAAGTGAAGCTCGGAGTGTGAGACCTTGGGGAGAGTGACCTGCCCACTGGACTGCGGGATCGTGGCCTTTCTGGGCCGTATCTGTGAGGGAGCCAAGGAACAGGATTCAGAATTTGCATACCTCCCACCCCACATCACCCAGACACAGATATAGCCTCTCTCGTAGATGTACTGTGCACGCAGCTGTGTATACTCAACTCACAACTGTACAGAACCACACAGAGGGTGGTCTAGGTAAAAGTATTTTCCTCCCTCCTGGCTTCTGTGAGGAAGACTTTTTCCTAAGCATAGTATTGGCCACTCTCTGCTCCTTTGCTCCTTCTGTTTCTGGGAACTAGGAAGAATAACTGGATTGCTTTGGTTCAGTCCCATCTCTCCTTCTCTTGGAAGTGAGTTAAACTCAGGGAGTAGGCCTTTGACTCTCCTCCCAGGGGTATGTGGGATGGGGACTAGGGGACAAGGTTGTCCTGGTCCAAACCTATGGGAAGGCTGCCTAAGTCTGGGGTGCAAATAGCCTGCCTCTTGCTACAAGAGTTGAAGCCACTCCTTCATCTGGCCTCTATCAGAAGAAAGGCAACCTCTTAGCCTCCACTTTTCTCATATATTTTCTCATCTCAAATTATGCATGGAAGAAGGATGCTAATTATTGGGGAAGGCAGGATCAGAGGTTCCAAAAACAAAGAATTGGGAAGGCATTTTAGAGCTGGAACGACTCTAGAATGCTGACCTACTCATATTGGGGACGAAGAAACTGAAACCCAGAAAAAGACCTAAGGTTAAGAATGAGAACTCCCAATTCCCCCTCTGCCACTGAACTGCAGGTGGCATGACGTGGCCTTACACATTTTTTAGAAACCCAAATAAGCACAAATTAAAAAAGAAAACAGACAAACAAATAAAAATCCCAAGCCTGAACAGCTTCACACAAACCCTGGTACATACACACTCTGAAGGCTGTTTGGTTATTAACTAGGGAAACTGAACCATATACTCAAAATCCTAAAAGGATGAAAACCATGCAGTCCACCAACCAGGATGCACCCAGCTAGGACAATGCTGTGGTCACCATGGTTGGGGGGAAACAGCCTAGGCACATGCGTGCCCTCTACAGAGAGGTGAGTGCACCACCTGTGGCAGGTCTGTGGTAAGAACTCCAAGATGGGCTGCCCAGGTGCCGGCTCCTGCAGTTTTCCACCTGTGCTCTCCGCAGGACCCGTGTTTGTAGATGAGTGATTGTGATGAACTTGTAGCCAGCTTGGCCTGGTCACAAACTTCAGATGGAATAGACAGGTTGGAAACTGAATATATTCATTGTTCAGAGTACGTGACTGTTTCAAGCAACAGGGTTTATTGGGACCATCTTGTTCCTACTTCTACATTCAGCTCATGAAAAATCAAGAGCTGTCTCTAAAGAGAAGTCACATGTGCATACACTTTCAGGCAGTTTTAGTAGAGTGCACACTTGCTCCAAAGGGCCAAATATTAATAGATCCTTTCCTGTATTCCTTTCCAACCAAGAGGTCCCAGATGAGGGGAAGCCCAGTATCTTGCATTTTCCTGAAGTGAATTTGAGCTGCTGGACTGGAGCCTTTCATGGGGAACATGGAAAGGTGGGGCCCAGAAGGTAGATGGATTGGGTGGAGGTAAGGGTAGGGCACAGGGTGACTCAAATACCCCTAAGAATGAGAAACAGGAGTGTGTTCCAACTGCCCAGAACCTGCCCTGAGACTCAGGACCCAGGCCTCACCTGTCTGCTTCCCGGAACATGTCCCTCTCCCTCTGGGAATGGATGTCCTGGATGATAGCAGCCACAGTCTTCCCGGGTTTCTAGCAAGGTCAGATAGATCACCATCAGATCAGAGATGGCTTACAAAGCAGCTCTGACTTAGGTTGTTCACTGCCCAGTCCACCAAAAGGGAAAGGTGCCTTTTTAGGGGAAGAAAAAAAGTATAATCCAAGGGCCGAGGAGTGAGAGTATGATGCTGAACGGTGTAGAACTGAGTAGTCCAGAGAACATTGAGTGCTCTAACGAGCTGGGGAAGGAAGGAGTCTGGTGTTCAACTTCACGTGCTGGGACCAAGGAGTATCTATTAATACTTACCTCCCACCTCTGCCAGAAATAAAATAAAATAAAATAAAATATATATATATAACATGAAAGGAAAGGTGAGAAGAAAGGAGGGAGGGAAGGAGGAAGGGAGGGAGAAAGAAAAGAAAGGAAGGAAGGTAGGAAAAGAGGAAGGATGGGAAGGAAGGAGGGAAGGAAGGAAGGAGGGAAGGAGGGAGGGAAGGAAGGAGGGAAGGAGGGAGGGAAGGAAGGAAAGAAGGGATTGTAAACTAGGAGACACTTGAAGATTATTGAATGTAGCCTCTACCTTTTATATGGGTAAAAGCTGAGACACAGAGAGATTGAGCACCAGCCACCTTGTGGTCCATGAAGATGGTGACTCCTGAAGTTGTGCTGGGTTAAGAAACACATTCAGGGTCATAGAGATAGTGAAAAAACTTAGGACCAGAAAACAAGCATTTTAACTCCAAGTTCCTTCCCATGCTCCATACCCCCTTCAATACAGTGCATTCATCCACAGGGGTCAGCTGATGCTCACAGTAAACCTATGAGGTGGCAGCGCAGGTTAGGAGTCATGTTTCCCAGATGAGATGCTAGGTACCTAGGAGCTCTGCCCTTTCCAGGTCATTATACAGTGGCTATGCCAGGACAGGATCAACTCCAGTCACCAAATCTCAACCAAAGCTCTTTCCTAAACCTAGAACAGACACACAAAAACAAAAAATAAATAATAAATGATTTAAAAAAGAAGTCCATGGCCAGGCACATAATGCCTATAATCCCAGCAATTTGGGAGGCCAAGGCAGGGGAATTGCTTGAGTCCAGGAGTTCAAGAACAGCCTGGGCAACATAGCAAGACCTCATCTCTACAAAAAATAAAAAATTAGCTAAGTGTGATTGCCTGTGCTTGTAGTTCCAGCTACTCGGGAGCCCGAGGTAAAAGGATCACCTGAGCCCAAGAGGTAGTCTGTGGTGAGCCACGACTGTGTCACTGCACTCCAGCCTAGGCAACAGAGTGAGACCCATATTAAAAAAAAAAAAAAAAGAGCAGGAGCATCTTTCAAAAAGACTATGCAGAATTAATTCATTTAATAAAAATGTATCAAGCAAGTGACTTTTATGGTATGTGATTTATATCTCAACACATAAAGCTGATATACTTTTATAAAGGACTAAAAACTCTGTAATGTCAACTTTTGATTGAGTTTTATTAAGAAATTTAATCAACTGCTTTTAAATCTTTTTTTCTATGTAATTTACAAAGAATCATGAATTCTTAAGAGTCATACAAACATTAGGTATCATGATACATCTCATTTTGCAGATGGGGAAACCAGGTCCAGAAATGGGGTCTGGCTGGAGCTAGAGTGGCATGTGTACTCCAAGTGGTATGGCTGATTATCTGTAACTGTTGAGATAAGGGTTGGGCTGAGAAAAACACAAAGTAAAGGCAAGAATGGAGAAGGAGCTGTCTGCAGCTTTAGGGAGAGAGGTCAGGGCTAGATGTAAAATCTTCAAGTCAGGGAGCGATCTCTTGTCAGTTGGAGATGCAAAATGAGAGAAAGTCAAAGAGAAGGCAGTGACGCCTACCCTTGTGCTTGTGAATAAGTTTGAGGTCAAGAAGCCAATCCCCTGTTCAAGAAAAAGCCAGAAACTTGTCATTAGGCAGCAGTATATTCACCCAAAAAGGCATTTCACAACTCTGACAAATGGCCCCCTATGTCAAACTGGAGCTGTAGAGGTTGACCTTCTTAAGCACATAAAAGTGCCACCAACAAGTAACCAGCTTACCCAAGACCTGTACTGGCAACCAGTATCTCAACTGCTTAAACTGAACCACAAGCAGAGACCTACAGCCAAGCAAGGAAAAGTCGAGGCTGTTGGTCTGGGACGAGAAGAAATCTGCTGACCTAGAAGTTTTTTGGTTTTTTTTTTTTTGAGTTGGAGTCTCACTCTGTCACCCAGACTGGAGTGCAGTGGCCGCTTCCGGTCACCGCAGCCTCGACCTGCTGTGCTCCAGCGATCCTTCCGCCTCAGTCTTACAAGTAGCTGGAACTACAGGCACGCGCTACCACGCCCGGCTAATTTTTTGATTCATTGTAGAGATGAGGTCTCACCAAGTTGCCCAGGTGGGTCTCAAACCCGCGGGCTCAGGCAATCCACTCACCTCAGCCTCCCAAAGCGCAGGATTACAGGCTGAGCCACCGAGCCCAGCATGACCTGGAAGTTTCCATCCACCCCACCACTGCTCAAGACCACCAATCCTTCAGCCAGGTTGTTTGTCACTCCCTTGACCCAGAAGAAGAAGGCTCATCTGAAGGTCGCTGCACTTAGTGTGGACCCCACTGAGTGGTCTTCTTCCTGCTTGCCTGCCTTGGACCACACAGTGGAATCTGGGTACTCTATCGTCAAGGGAATGGCTGGCCCCAAAACAACCTAATGCAGTACTGCTGTCCAGCAGACCAATGGGAGCAGCAGAGCTTGGGAAAGCTGGTAGGGCCATTGGGACCAAGTCTGTGTGATGAGATTTGCTGTCACTCATCCTGAGTTCCAAATCTGTGACTTGCACTGCCAAGATGAAATAGAAAAAGGCTACAGAATGTGCCCCCATTGCCTGGGCCCAGCAGGTCCGAGGCTGCAGTGGCCGTCAGAGTGCCACTGCACTGAAGCCTGGGCAACAGAGTGAATCTCTGACTCAAAAAAAAAAGAATGTGCCCGCAAACTGGGATAAATGTACCATGGCGACATTTTGGGACATAAAAACTCTCCAAGGGGGTTGAATGGGGGAACTCTCTGTTGTAAAGAGACTGCAAGGTTCTAGTTTTCTTCTGCTCTTCTGGAACTTCACATCCTCCTGATTGCTCCTTCCAGCCCAGAACAGGAAAGTGGGTGGGAGGAAGATGGTTTTGTCAGGGAGTGGCTGAGGTTTTGTAGATTACTTAGGGCAGCATGGGGGTGGGACTCAGACTCATGAAGATAGGAGGAGATCAGGTCAATGTCAGGATCAGAGGCATTCCAGGAGCTCTTGGTTCCTTCTGCACCTTGATCATCACAGAGAGCACTCCCAGGCCCATTCCCTCTCGGGTACCCTCTGATTGGCAGAGCAATCCAATCACACACCACAGATGAAAACATCCTCTAGTGACCCATGCAGTCTCCCAGGGGTCAAAGAGGTGCAGTTAGAGTGCTTGCGGTGAGGGGAGGGGGGAGGCTAGAAGGGACACTTCTTGGCTTAGGCCTTGCTCTGAACCTTATTTTTCCAATCACAGAAATTCCTTCTGGGGTCCCTTTCAGCTCAGTGTCCTCTGGGGTTACTTCTATTCCGATCCCGGGTCCCCAGTGAATTGGCCCTGGGTTGTTGATCTCCTCACAGCCAGCACCGGCACAGAGCCTGGCATGGAACAAGTGCTCCCTAATACCTGCTCCAAGATGCATGGTTGGAGAGACAGAGTGATGTGCCTGCACAGAACGAATACGATGGTCTGCCAATATGACACTGTGGGGCTAGCAATCACAGGCATTGTGACCCCTTCTGCCGTTTTAAGTGGTAATTGCAAATTGTTTGGTGCTCTCTGAACCAACTGCCAGCTGCCATCTGAAAAGGGGGCAGAAGTGGCCAAAGATTTTCAGATAACAGACCTGACCTTCAAAGCCCTAAGAAAATCCTCTCAACCTTCCTCTTGGGCCGGCCTCTGCATCCTATGGTTAAAGCTATAAAAAAAAGGCAGGTGAGCCGGGCTCGGTGGCTCAGCCCATAATCCCGCACCTTTGGGAGGCTGAGGTGAGTGGATTGCCTGA